GAAAAAATATATCGATATTAATATTAAATTAACTATTTAAAAAATGAACTAATTTATTTTGTACAATTTCTTTAATTTAATTTTTTATTATAATTTAATTTAGGTCAAATAGTGAAGTAATTTATTTTTGATTTAACAATAAATTTTTTATAAAGATAATGATTCTGTTAGAATTCAATGATTATCCTAATTATATTTTAGATTTTTTATATTTAAAATGAGATATTATGTTTATTTGCAGTTAGTTATACAAATTCAAAAATAGAGCTTTAATAAGTTGTATTTACGCACAATTTACTTGTAATCTTAAATTTTAGGTAATATGCATTAATACACAGTACTTCATTCATAAAGAATGGTTTTTGTCAAATGCTTTATAAAAGCCGATTATGATATTTGGAGATGACATACTAGTTTCAGTATCCCTTGCACCAACAATTAGGGCGGGTCATAAGGTCACCGATGCCCTGTGCAGGAATGCTAAAAAGTGCTCCTATGATGATCTTTTTTAAGCAAACGAAACATATTGTTTTCTAAAGGGTTTGGAACATAATCAAAGCAAGACGACTCATCCCCACACAGAAGGAATAAGAACAGTAAAAAAACGAGAAGGGGTGATGTTAGCTTTATTTTAAAGCTAATGATTAACTTGAAAAGTTTTATTAAGCAATCGGGGCAAAGGAAGAAATCCTGAAGATGATGCTGCGCCAAAACGTCTAAGTCTGGAAGACCAGCCTCTGTGWAAATCGTTCAAGAATGGTCGACCAGAGCTTCTGTGAGATAGCACAGAGCCTCTGTTTGAGACACTAATGCTTCTGTGAAGGACAGAGCCTCTGATTATATTAATCAGAGACTCTGGACTCAAGTCCTTACAATGACCAAATGTTAAGGACATAGCCTCTATGAGAGACAGTAGAGGCTCTGGACACTAAGTCATTAAGGACCAGAGCCTCTGGTTGAATAGACCAGAGMCTCTGTGAACAGAGCATCCGGTACTCTCGACAGAGCCTCTGTGTGGTTGTACAGAGCCTCTGTGGTTAGGCTATCCTCTGGTCTCTAGACGACTTCCTTCAGCATCCTTATTCCGGATAAGGATATTCCTATTCTGGATAATGTTTTCCTTATTCAGTTTATCATGTATTTCTGCCTATAAATAGAGTGTTTCAGATAGAGAAACAGATGACTCAAGAACACCAAGAGAATTCTCTTTGTAAAAGATAGATTCAAAATCATATGAGAGTCGATTAGGGTTTCTTGAGAGTTTGTAATTTTTATTTTCAATAAAAGAAAAGCAGCCGTTATTTCTCTGTTTAATCGTCTTATTTACTTTCTCTTACAAACTTCTAGTGTAAATCGTTCTACTGTCGGATCTGGAAAATAACAGGTGAGGAACAATAGGAATCAGTTTGGTTGTTCACTTGTTTGATGACCTTATTCACATTATCTTTCTTTAATCAGCTTAGCCGCTTAGTTGATACCCTGGATGACCTCGGATTGTTGTTTATAGTCCCGGTGTTTAAACCGAAACTAATCACACATAAAAACTCGATGCCCTTCGTCTTATGATGCCCTATGCAGTCATAAGAGTTGCACATGGCCATGGTCAACCCATTGTGCAACCTATTCACGAGTCATGCAGTCCAATCACAGTGCAACAAGAAACATGTAAAAGAGATGTAGAACAAGCCTTCGAAGTTTTTCAAAGACGATGGTTGCATAAATTATTTTACATAACAAGATAACAGATGATGAACGTAATCTTGACACAGCACTTTAAGTTGCAAGAGAAGTTTCACTAATAAAGGTTAGTACGGTTGTGGATTATAATTTTCGGTTCTTGCAATTTCTTGCTCGATATTGGCAATTAGAGGGTACAAGATCTTGATTGACATTTCATAATACTTCAACACGTTTTACGTTTCATCGTTCTCGGTTACTTCTGTATTTTGAAGGATTCCAATCTGTGTTATGTAAAATGTAGTATACTAACGAAAAAAGGGGATTGGAATCGTATTCTGGAGTAGTTCTTTTGAGTCAAGTTCGAAGTAGATACGCTTGATATGTATGGCCGACGAAACTATGTATAAATAATGGAAATTTGGTGTTAGCAAGCAGTCTAAAGTTTGAACTCAGTTCAACAAATGACCAACTTCTAAAGTAAGAACCGAACACAACTTCTTGTAGGTCGAGCGTTGATCCAACTATCTAACCATCTAACCGATGCTTGATTTCAGTGAAAATTTGGTTTCAGAACGTTTTACGACACCCTTAAAATCAAGAGCGTGCACCTTTTAAACGCCTAAATAGGTTCTTCCCATGCATTTTGGGTAGCTTTCAACGCGTTCCTTTTGCTAGTTCTTAAAACTAAAACTTGGTTGTTTACTAAACGCTTATGTGGTAATTTTCCTTGGCGGATGAATATGGCAAGGGTCGACAATATCACCCGGTAAGAACGAGGAAAAAGATGGAGAATCTTACCTGGTAAGTGGGGTGATGACTTGCCAGAGTAAGTGCTTATCGGGTAAATTGTTGCATAAAGTACCGTTTTGATATACTACAATTTTACAATTTCACCCGGTAAAATAAATTATAATGTTGACTCTTATCAGTAAGCGCTTACCGGGTAAGCATTTGGGTAAATAGTCCCTTACTCATTTGATTTGTTACAGAAAAAATATATTTCATTTTGATCAACTTTTTGGTACATATGCCGAAACTGCACCTACACATAAGATAACGTCGATACCATCGAAGATCTCAAAAAGTCGATCGGTATTAAAACATAAAGACCCGTTTGATTTGACACAATGTTTTGAGCAATTTGGATTTCATTGGAGGATTTGAAGTCTTTGGTCTATTTGGTTTGTAGGATCTGGAATTGAAATAAATTTCATTCTTTTATAAATCATGTTTGGTTTGAAAGATTTGGAATAAAATTTTGCTTTTTTTTTTGGTAAATATTTGTTTGTTTCGATAAAACGTGACGCGATGATGAAGGCGGCGGTGTAAAGATGCGATGGGAACATTTGAAATCCAAATCTTGTGGATTTCAAATGAGAGTCATCTCCAAACGTATTTCTAAATCAAACACGGATTAGAATGTAATTCAGTTCCAAATCTCACCTAATCCTACAAACCAGACGAACCCTTAGATCAAATAAAGCTACATAACTTTTTCGTTACAAAATTTGAGTTATCGACTTTCCAAATTATCATACTATTTAAAGCAACTTTTCATCGTTTATGCCAAAATGGTAAAAAGAACATAACATTTTACGAGAATAAGCGATTCGATTTGCCAACCCTACAACTTAAGCATGCAATAAGAAACAAAAGTTCCCCTTCGGCTATGTTGTTAATCGTCCCGCTATAGTTGTGGTATCATAGTCTGTGGTCGATGACGAAATAGCGGTTGCAAAACAGTGGGGAAAGTCGTGGTGCAGCTTATTCAATACATATAGTATCTTAAGTTATACATACATGTATGCATATACGATTCTAATTATTATATGGACCGTTGTACCATCACTTTAGCATCGTCGTCTAACCGCTATATTAGATTTTCACCATTATAATAGCATAGTCCTTCGGTTTGCCACGAATAGGAGGTCGTAATACCTATAAAAGGCCGTGAGAGAGAGAAGCGAATGTGGAGGCTTATGGCGTTGAAAGTCGGATGTATCAGGGGGTGTTTAGATGTGCCTTTTCAAGCGATTATTGCGACTTGGAGAATCAATATAGTTACATACTCCATAATCTATTTTTTAACTAGAAGAGTACTCGCACAATGTAACGAAACACAAATCCTTTATTAATCAAACCTATGGATTTTGACTCAAGATAATACAACAAACCGACCAACCCATTATATCCCACTCGCAAGTAGGGTTTGGGATGGGTAGAATGTAAACAGACCTTAAGCACTAGGATCGAGAGACTATGTTCATGCAGACGCTTGACGTGTGCACGAAACAAAGGTGTCTACAGCTAGGAAATTGACTCGACATAATCAATAACTCAAAATTTCACTCTAAACTTCAAAACTAATCACTAAGGGGCCGTTTACCAAACACTTACCCCGTAAGCATCTAGCGGTAAAATTCAACACTAATATTTACTTACCGGGTAAGATTTTAGTCAACAAAAAACGGCTTTCTATGCAATGAATTACCCGGTAAGAGCTGACGGTGGTAAGAGTCATTGCCCTCATTTACTGGGTAAGATTCTAGGTTCTTGTCTCGCTCTTACCGGGTAAGGTTCATGGTCATTTCCATGTTCATCCAATAAGGTAATGTAACTTGATAAGCGCTTACCCAAGTAAGTGTTTAGTAAACGGCCCCTAAGACTTGTAATAATTAATTTAAACACGGGAAATTATCCAAAATAGCCATTTTTTGAATCAACTTATAGTCGTTTTTCTATATAATTAACCGAAATAGCCACTATTTCACAAGTAAAACTTTAACTCACGAAACCCACTATCTATGAATATTATAAGTAACCTTTTAGCAATTTGCTACATCGGCATTTCGTAAGTATCACTTTAGCAACTTACTAAAAGATTAAATTCATGAACGAAATAGATTTCACAAGTTGTTTGTTACTTACGAATCTCGACTATTTTGATCAATTGAGTAGAAAAACAGCTTATCCCGGACAATTTCCGTCTAATCACGCACGCAATAAATCACCTTCAAAAGTGATCAACGATGGTTGTTTTGCATTTATATAATCTTTCTACAACTTCTAAGTTGGATTAGGGTCATTAGAAAGTTATTTGGTTGGTTTTCCATTAAATCTTGTATGGATGTATGGAGGCATCATTAAGCCGCTAACAAACGGGCCCTAGATTGTATATTCCTTGGCTTTCGGTTAGGTTTGCAGGTTGAGGGGCCGTTTTCCCAAAACTTAGTCAATAAGTGTTTATCGGTAAAATTTAACACTATTACCTACTTATCAGGTAAGATTTTAGTCCACTAAAACAACACTATATGCAATAATTTACCCGATAATCCTACCAAAATCACTTCATCATGAAAACAGTTTTTGCAACATTTTCACACAAAACAATTGCTAGATCACAAACATGCCAGAAATGTTAATCCCTCACTTGCATCCGGATCGGGATTTTAAAGCAAAATTCGTTTAAGAAATCAACGAAAAACTATTATCAAATTCGTCTGTACGTTATACGAATCTACAAAATTACTGTTTTGACGAGGCTTCGTAACAGTTTTCTTGATCTCACTCTCAGATGCATCAAAAGTTTGCAAAACCCTAAAAATCAATGAAAATTGACCTAAAAATTGGATCATATCTCTTAAAGCAAAATCCGATTAACAAATCAAACAAAACTAAAATCAACTCGTCTATACGTTATACGAATCGACAAAATTACTGTTTTAGTAAGATTTCGTAACAGTTTTCTGGATCTCAGTCTCAGATGCATCGAAAATTTGTAAAACCCTAGAAAAATCAATGAAAATCGACCTAAAAATTGGGATCAATCTACAGCAATGAGAAGGGGGAAACTGTTACTAACCTCAGTAGATCGTATCCACCATTTTCATCTCCATAGATGGAAAATGAAGGTGGAGAGCTTGAACAGAGCGAATCGAGGAGGACACGACGTCGTTGCCGTCGTCTTCTTTGAAGCTATATGTGTAATGTGTTGAACTAGGATTCCAACTCAATTAACGAATTTTGCCAAGGGAAGTTAATTTGCCTTTTTTTACCCTCTAACTTTATGATGTATTTCAAAATATACCCCAAATTAATGAGTATATTCACAAATTGGTCCTTTAAGAATTAATTGTACGTTTTATGTCCTCTATGTAATTGTGTTTTTATTCCGTATTAACAGTACTTTTTGTTTGGTAACAATCAGTGTATGGGTTAATTTGTGTGCACTTCGATTAATCTCATATGGGGTTTTGATAACAATCATGAAAATCCATAGTGTCGTTGAAAGACTCGAACTAACGACCTATCGGAAGGAGCCTTATGACCTGAAATTAGGGTGGCAATTAGTCCTTCGGCCAATGATCGTGTAAAATTGGATCTTGTTGTAATTGAATTTTTCAAGGGTTCCGTTAGTAGTCAGCTAAAATTAGGTTGTAAGTTATGAGATATGAATGATACATATCTTTTTCTTAAACATTGTGTCTTTGGCTTCTCAAGAACGGGTTTTTCAGGAATTTCGTATTAATGCCACATCTTTTCAAGGCTTATCGATAATCATTCAAAACTGGGTTGTTAGTTATAATGTTTGTATATCATGACTTCTTTTTTAGGGGTATTTCAGTCATTTTTGAAAAATATTAGAGTTCTTTCTTTCTCACTACGAGTGAAAATGATGCGAGTCGAGCTCGAGTATCATTATACTCGACTCGAACTCAAAACCCAATTTCCAAGCTCGAACTCGACTCGAAAACTCTCTAGTAGTAAAAATCAAAGCTCGACTCGAACTCGATAACTATTTCTCAAGCTCGAGCTCGAATCAAACTCAATTCAAGTTTGAACTCGAATCAAGCTCAATTTAAGCTTGAACTCGAATCAAGCTCGAACCAAGCTCACCCATTGAAATTTATGAAATTTTTTGTTTTTTCTCTTATAAATTTTAAAACTTAAAGGTGTTCTCTTAGTTTTTATAAAATTAAAGGGATCAACTTCAAACTTCATCACAAAAAAGACAAAGTTAGAAATTTTAGTCACCTCCCTCTTTTTTTATAACATCTTTTTCCCTTCATTTACCATCTATCTTCCAATGTGAGATAATTTCACTAACTTTTTTTTATAGTTTTTCTTTGTCTTTTTTTAATTGTGATTTTAATAAAACATAATTGCTTAATTTTATAATTAAAAAATACATAATTTTGTTTAAATATCTAAAAATATAAGACATTTTTATTATTTATATTTTTTATCATAAAAACTTATTATATTTTAAAATTAATTATATATAAAATAATCGAGTATCTCACGAGATTTTCGAGTCGAGTATTTGGTAACTTGACTCTTGACTCGACTCGTTAATATGTCGAGTCGAGCTCGAGTTCGAGCCGAACTTATTCGAGTCGAGTGTTGACCGAGCTTTAACCGAGTCAATTTTGAGTAGCTCGAGAGTTGTCTAGTATTGTTTACACCCCATTTCTAACAATATTTTTTTTTGAAAGAAGTGCTATTCATTGCCTATCATAAGCATTATTGTATTCTTCTTATTATATCTTAGAGTAAACTTCAATTTTAGTCCTCTAGGTTTAATGAAATATTCAAAAATGGGACCTAAACTTTAATAAGGGGTTGTTTGGTTGGTTTTCCATTAAGTCTTACATGAATAAAGTTGTATATGTGGATTAATTTGTCTATATAGATTTAGAAGATCTTTGTTTTAAAGGGTCTTTTCATAGATGAAAGATACGTATTTTTCAACTGAAACGAGCAAGTTTGAAACAAACTTGTCTTTCTACATAAAATTCAATTAAATTAAAGCATTTTATGCTTTAAAAAATCTGTCATTTTATGCTTAATTTTTTTTTTTTGATTAACCTGGATATCCAACCCGCTATGCTAGCCGATTAATCTCAAGGCGACTACCTGCTTTGCAGATAGCCCGGAGTCACTACATTTGAACCTCCATGGCCACAAGGGGATTTTTTTTATTCCTCCTTGGATTTGAACATGAGATCTCCTTGTATTTTTGACCTTTGGAGCCAAGCTCAAACTAATCAGACATCACACTTGTGGTTTGCTTTAATTTTTTAATTTAGACTCATTAAATCTAATTCAAAATACTAAAATCAAAGTAAACGTAAATTCAAACTGCATATAAAATAATGTAGTTTTAACTTTTTTGACTTTAGATCAAACTAAAAAGTGCTTTTTATAGGAATTTTTCATTAATATTACAGATAAACGAAGCATCCAAATGAAAATTATTGAGCAGCAGTTGGTCCCAAAAAGCTGTACTCATTTGTAAATATTGTGAAAAACAAAAACTTTTCGAGTTATCATCGTTTTTTTCCCATATCTAAAGATGATGATGATTAATTAACTATAAATGGACATGATACCCACATGCAAAGTATTGACGACAGATGCATCTTTTCAGTAAAAGTATTCATATCAACAATAATGTTTCAATCATCATAACGTAAGCAAAATAGCATCTGCTTTGTGGATGCAAATTCGACACGATCCTTACATGGCTATCACAGATGCATTCAACTTTACTGTTTTCACAATACCAACAAGTCAACACCTACCAAAGGGCATTTGGTTTAATGGTATGTGAGTCATTGACCTCCTAGAAGGTCAAATGTTCAAACCTCATTAGAGGTAAAGAGGATGTGTGAGTTTATTTGATCTATTTGCCGTATATAAATATTATATAATTAAAAAAAAAAAAAAAACAAGGCAACGCCTATGAATATCTCAATTATTGTGATCTAGGCGTTATCATGTTCAATTTTGTGTTTGCAAATTCGACACGATTCTCGCACATGCAATCACATAAAATTCAACTTTGGGACCCGATATCATAACTAAATAATTTTGCAGTACAGTTTTTTTGACTTGTAGACTGTGACATTGGAATGCTACTACAAAATATCTGTATTGTACTATACTTCTGTGTGGACCTCATAACAGCACATAATTTTTAATATCGCCTTTATATGTTTAATGTTATCCATTTAATCCCTTTGCCATTTCAGTGTCTATATCATCTTTAAATAATAGCAGAAGGGTCATATCATCATCAATCATATATGTGAACAATAATGAATCTATTCAAAAACATTGAAGCCGAAATAATTTGGAACAGTTGTTACATATATCTGTATATCTACTTTTCGACCCCTGGCCACTTTAATAACTAGAAAATCCCGTTTTTTGAATTTCAACCTTAGCGGTAGAATCATCAGCTTGTAACCAACTACTTGAAAGTAGGCCCGAATCTAACTTGAAAGCTTTCGTCAAACATTTTGACTCTCCACCAGGGTTCAAATGTGGACCGACTAAAAGCAACTTTTAGAATGAAAATCACAAATTTCACATAAATACAGTTGTAATGACTCATATTCGGTACATTAAGAGTCATACATTACCCTAAAAAAATTAGAGTAAATTACGTTTTTAGTCCCTGTGGTTTGTTGAAATTTTTTATGTTTGTTTTTATGGTTTTGAAATTACAATTTTCATCACTAAAGTTGTACATAATTTTTTTTTTTTAGTAACTATGGGTTTTCAGACAAGTTTACATACAATCGACTAATCTTTCGGACGACCACGAATGACCTGTAATTGTTGCAGGTGAACCCCATGACTGCAAGTGCTTTGGTAGCACCTGGATTCGATCCCGGTATAGATGGAATTTTTCGGTACATTCCTCTGAGACTTAACGAGCACGCCACAACTTAAGTAGTTAATTTTACATAATATTTAATGTTTTTTCAGTTTTAAATAGTAATTTATTTTTTTAAGAATTTTAAATTTTTAGTTAATAAATTAAATTTATTTCTAGTAGAAAAAAGTAAAAGGGTGTCAAACCCTACATCCAAGATTTTTTTTGTTTCTAGTATGCATGGAGTCCACACACGTGTTTACAAAAATACGTACGGAGTTAGGATATCGTGAATATCACGTGGGCATCACGTGATGCCATACATGTATGTATGTGGGGGAGCAAAGCATGTGCACGCACGTGCATAAGTAGGGCCCATGGTATCTGTACGGCTATGCCGACATGTATCATCACGTGTATTCCGTAGAATTGCAAAACACAAACTAATATCGGCGGCTCATTTAATGTTAGAATAAACTACAAGTTGATTATAATCACAAAAGTTCATTTAATGTTAGAATAAACACAAACACATTAGTTCCGGTTTTGATTATAATCCCTAAAGTTAATTTAATATAAAATCATCATTACAATTCTCATTTTTATCTGGTTTTGATCCCTCTCGTTAACAATTGTTAAATTCCATCATTAAATAAGGGCCTTATTAGTCTATTTTGAAAACAAGACAAAAGTTACAGTTTTAACTAACTATAAGGACTAAAAACATAATTTGCTCCTTTCTAAAATACTCATTTGATATTAAGAGTGAACTACAATTTTAGTCCCTGTTCTTTTGTTAAATACTATTTTGTCCCGAAACTAACACCGTCATTCACGAGTCCTTAAAACCCTTACTTTTTACTTTAATTGATGGAAATTTACGATTAAAAAAAATGCAAATATTATTTTTTAATCAATCTTTTATTATAATAAAAACTATTATTTAATAAAATAGAATTATTATTATCAACTTTTGGAAACAAAATGTATAGAGACTTCACAGTTTAAAGCTACCTCACTTTTATTTCAAGCTTTAATTTTATATTTACTTTTTTGTAATTAAAAAAATAAGGGGGTATTTACCAAACACTTATCAGGTAAATATTTACCGGTAAAATTCAATATTATCATTTACTTATAAAATCAAAGTTTTAATCATTGATTCATGATCAACGGTTACAATAGATGTGGGCCCAATATTTTTAATTATAAAACAAAAATAGAAACAAAATAACTGTTTATCATTAATCCAACGGTTAAGATGGGGTTTGGAAAAAATGTAGAATTTACATGGTTTGCAAATTAAATTAACCTGGACA